CGTTGGTTTCCTCCGTGTGCTGCGGTTTCCCCTACCACTAAAAACATGCACACTAGGTTAAATCCTCCAGCTCTGGTCCTGATCAAGCCGAGCATCAACATCAGGAGATGGTTTCCCGGGCGCTGTTACTACGGCGACCACTGCTCCTGACGTAAGCCTTTGCGGCATCAGGATTAATTGCCCTACGGGGATCAATAAAAGTGCACCTTTACCTTTACAATCCTTCCACTTTATGCGCAAACAAACTCGTTTTTAGCCTGGGTTTGAACATTGTCAGAGTCGAAGCCTGTCTTACATTTTCTGAAAGATTTTTCCAAAATGCAGCTGTATAAATCTGACTTACTTACTTTCTTAAGAGGGAAGTTTTAGATTAGAGTAGGGAGGAGACATTGCGACCCATGCTAGTTGCTTTGTTTATGATTTTTTAACATATTATTAACCTTTTCTCCGCATATTGGACAATGCATGTGTGGCTTAGACCTAATTATAAAAAAGCCTTATCTCGCTAATCGGGAAAAAACGTAATCTCTTCTTTTCCTTGGTTTTCAGCCACGTGGATTGTGTGCATTGGCCACACTCTCATATAAAGTAATAATTAACTGGTTGGTTGGTCCACTCCCTCACTCTGTCCTGTTTGTGAGTGTGTGTGTGTGTTGCAGTGTGCGGCAGATTGCTACATAATGTAAATACAACTGGTTTCAAAGCAAACACACCTTAAACTCAGGGAGACAAGGCCGACTTTAGAGCTTGTGGCGATGTGTTTGTCGTTTATTGCTAAAAACCACGAGATAGTCAGACGATATGAGGCAATTTGCTATAGTTGTGTTAAAACATGTGGGTGTGTGATTTCTGATTCACTTCTGGCAAATTGTGTTTCATTTGTGGGGATGTGAAAGCACAAAACTGTTTACTCTGCTCCATTGGTCACATACAGGTTATAAGTTATAGATATATTAAGTTTGTTGCAGCTTAATATATACAACAAGTTTGCAGCTTGTTGTATTCGTAATAGGTGTTTTGCAGTCATTTCTGTTCTGAATATAGACAGTACACTCAATTTGGTCTATTCAATACTATTTATTTTTGTAAAGCCCTAAATCACAACAGCAGATTGTTGATTCGCCAACAACAGATCAGAGAATCAAACAGTTCGAACACAGGAATTGCAGTGATAACAAACCATGACCAATGACCATAAATGTACATCTTATAGATATGCATTTTTATAGATACACTGCCCACATGCACTAAGAAAACTGTTATAAAACTGGAGCATCCAATGGTTGATGAGCTCTGCTGATATTTTGAGGTCGACATATGGGACAGACTTGATCATCTGACCCACATGATACTGGCTGTGTTATCTCTGGAGTCTGATTTGATTTACTTGATTTCAGACTTTTCCCAGCTTCCTCAAAAAATATACAGTTTATGGCCCTTCAAACCAGAATACCTGCATTTGTTTATCTGTGCAATAGTTACATTCAAAGTTATTGTTTATATTCAAAATAAATAGTTATTTTACTCCCATTGTAAGTAACAGGAAGTCACAAACTAGGGTACATTATAGAGTCAAAAATAGATAGATACAAAAGCATGGATTCTTATTGGATAGAATTGTACATTGTATCACTCGATTCTTCTGCCAAATGCCGTTGAAAATGTGAATTGTCTCATGAAATCTTAGCTCTTAATCGACAGGAAGTTGTGCTATTGATAATGTGGCCCTAAACACCCCCCAACAAAGGAGCAGATAGTATAAACAATGGCCCATGGACCCAGTCTGATCATGTGGCGTTTTACTCTTCTTCATTACATAAAAAGCAGATGTCTTCGCTGTCACCTCTTCTGTCACCGCCGGCTCAGATTCCTCGCGTCTTTGTCTCGCTCTAACCTAAACGTGGAACAAAGGAAGGACAATAAAGCCAAGAAGGCCACATGCAACCCCGCCTCTGTTGCTATGGCCACTGCTGCCTGTTACTATACAGCTGTTTCAGCCAATGGCGTCGCTGTGGGCGTGGTCTGGTTTTTGCTCCACGGTGGAAGGAAGTCCATATGTGGCGTCATTTCCTCCCGATGCTGTGAATGAATCCATGCCGCCACAATCACACAGAGGCAGAGAGGGAGCCTTTGGAGTTTCAAGGTCACCAAGGCAGATCAATCATATAGAGAGAGATATTCCCAGAGGCTTTGACAGAGATGCTGCATTTGTAGAAGCGTTTGTTTATTCTTTGCTTAAATATATTTCTGTGTCACTACTTGTATATAGAAGGCAAGGGGAGTTCATCCACAAGGTAACTCAAAAGGTGCTTTTTCTGCAAACGAATGAGAAACATTATATAGAGTGAGGCCTGCATGATTTTACCAATATAGTTTTTGGCCATAGCCATATTATGATTGATAATACACATAATATTGTCATTTGTCACTCATTGTTTGTGCTTGTGTGAAGCTATTTAGCATCAAATATACCTGTTTTCTGAGTTAAAATTATAATGATATAATAAGAAGTCTGTTTTCATCCCCTAGTTCTGCTGTTGATGAGTGAAAAAGTTCTCCAGAATCTCCTGCATAGATGTCTAAAACAGTTTCTATGTGGGTGTGTAAGCAACTGTATTTCTGTATTTGTGATTTTTTAGATAAACATTGTGATCATGACTCAGGAAATTCTGTGTCGATTACAATGATCAAAGTGCACATGTACAATTTCTCACTTGAAGAGAGAGAAAAAATCTACTTAAAACAAAAATGAATAAGACTGGACTTGCCCTTTCCATCAACTTGTCAAACAATATTTTTTTGTTTTGGCTTAGAATTACAACATCTCAAAAATTGCCAACAGCAGATTAGAAAATCCTGAGACATAATGAGACATAATTCAATTTCTTGTTATCTTATGTCTTCTGAATTATTGCGTCGACCAAAAGTGCAGTTTTGACTGAAATTCATCTTGTAGCCCTAGAAAACTGCCCCAGTCACAATTTTCTCACAAAAAGACACGATAATACAAGCATGTTTGTTGGTTTGTTTTTACACTTTTGTTGTCTCTAAATACTTGGAAAAAAACAAGAAGCCGGAAGTGTAAAAACATGTCTTTCTTTAGTAGAGCTGGGCATTTTTTCCACATCTTTTTCTAATAACTATTTAAGTTTTAAACAAAGTAATACGCTGCCAAGAGACACTCTGAACAAATCACACAACAAAACTACAATTTATTAAAACGTTGTGAAATGTTGCGGTTGAGCTGCAAGATTTTTTGAAGACTGAAGTGAAAATATAAACATTTTTTCCGTGCAGTTGAAAGATTCTGATTCCGTGTTTTATTGAGAAAGAAGAAATCATCCAAGTTTGGAAACGCTGAGAGCTAAAATAATCATAACTCCTCTTGTTTGAACATGAGTCTTTTTTTAAACCAAAGTATTTCATTTGTGTTTTATTCTCGTCCTCGTCTCTTGCCTTCTCCGAGGTCCTCCATCCTCCTCTTTTCATAAATAGGAGGTAAACTTGCCACTAATCACTATTTGCATGGCGCATGTTGTCAATAATACAACATTTGGTTTTTGGTAATGGTTTGAGATGACCGTTTTTTTTTCATCATTCTGTGCTTGTTATTATTGCACTGTTATAAGCTAGTAGCATGTGCAGATCAGAGGATTCACATTTATGCAATTTTTTGTTAAATGTGCATTATTTATATTATATTTCATGTGTGTTTATGGACAAATGTGCTGTAATATTGAGGGGTTGAATGACAATGCTCAATGTCTGATTATCGTGACCACAAGACCACAGGCATTTTGATATCCCGCTTTAAAGGTGTGTTGTGCAACTTTTCTGATTTTGTGCCCTGCCCATTTGTTGCCATGGAGATTCTTCCCCAGTGTGTTATAAAACCTGGATTCTGAGATTAGGTCGGCTCGATGTAACTTGTGACTTTATTAGCCCAGTGAAGTCACAAGTTCGTCTCCAGTATACAGTTGTGCTTGAAAGTTTATACACACGAACACACGCACAACACACACACACGCGCACACACACACACACATTGATTATGAACGATAACACACTTTTTCCCACTCATTGTAAATTGTGTTTAGCCATTTATCTTTCTGTTTGCAATTTTTACATATTTATTTTTCAACAGAAATTTCTCGAATGACCGTGATCAGAAGTTTCAATCCCCCAGAATTTAATTGTGTATATTTCCCATTTAACATCTAGATAACAGTAGAAACTTTGGTAGTTGTGGATGAGGTTCTTTATCCTCTCTGATGGTAAAGCTGCCTGTTTCTCTTGACAAAAACCTCTTGCTGGGTTGCATTGTGTGAACTGGACATTTGAGATCTTCCCAGAGCAACTCAACAATTGCTATAATTTAAAATGTGTTTATTTGTCAATCTATGGCTTCACACAATGACTAATACTAAAACAAACAATACACCGTCCTCACACTTTTACAACTGTTACAAACAACATAACTAAACTAAATACCCAGCCCCTCCCTTCCCTACCATTTTTCCTTGTAGTCCTGATCTGTATGAATTTCATGTAAATATTGATTTGCATTGTTTCTGTATAATGCAATTTGTCGCTTTCGTTCTTGATGCTACCAATAAAAACGATGGTTGAAAAAAAAAGAAAACATAAATCTACTAATAATGTACACAAAAATATGTTGTGGCATCATTCATACTATGGACAACACAATGACATCTCTGGTTGTGTGTGTAAACTTTCAAGCACATTCAAGCAGCCTAGACTGAAAATGGTAATGTGATTAAATATCTGTGGAGCATCCAGGCAAAAACAACATATATAGTGGATGGACTCTAACAGAACACCCAGAAAGTTGCGCAATGCAGCTTTAATACGGGCCCCATCCCCAGCGATAACATTTAACCCTTTGATCTTGGTTGGTGTTAAATAGGGCGAGTGTGTGCATGCTCCTGTTTGAAGTCCTCAAATTGCAGCAGATCCTCACAGTTTCCTCTGATCCGCAGGTTTGGCAGGAGCACGATGAGAACGCGAGCGAGGAGTACGAGCTGAGGGGTGCCACTGTGTTCTGCATGCAGGCCGAGCACCGCGGCACACGCACGTACTACTTCAGCGCCGACAGTCATGACGACCAGCAGCAGTGGATCGGAGCCATGAACCAGGCGGCGGACGTGGAGACAGCGCACAGGTGGGCTGCGATCAGTGCGTGTTTGGTCCTTGGTTTCCCCGGTGTCTTCTTCAGTTCAACTTCCTGCCTTTTGTGTTTCCCCTGTGTCTTGTTTTCTTATATTTGAAATTCTAATGAAGTTCAAAAGATCATTAATATCATTGCCTGCAAAGTGACGTCTGCCAAGCCCTAATCCGTTATCTTTCTGATGATTACGGCATTTTCACAATACTTTAACTTTTTGAGATGTTTAATGTGGGTTTTTTACAAGCAGTACCCATAATTATCAACTTATATCTGTTGTATGAGCTGAGGTTAGGACTTTCGCCCTCAGCAAGAAGGTCCTCGGTTGAAATCCCGGAACAGGGCATTCTGAGTGGAGTTTGCTGGTTTCCCCTCCCACTAAAACTATGTGCAGTAGGTACACTGCTCTGACCAAACAACAATATATTACATTTAAAGATTAATTTCACGTTATTCTAATGTTCAGAGTTTTACCTGTATATCCTGTGTCGTCTTTGGTTCCCTGTTCTGTCATTGTTGATGTTAGTTGGTCTTTAAGTCATCATTTTTTACTCTGTATTTCATTAAACTATCTTTTTCTTACTTCTTAGAACCTAAATCAGGTCCCTTTTTTTGCCTGTCTTTAGTCGACCAAGAAATTCTTTGGTCACTTACAGCCCTAATAACTTGTAGTAATGTTGACACACACTTCAAACCTAACATTCACATGTAAGAAGATGTGAATGTTCTTTTCTACTGAGCTCTCACAGAATCCATTAGCCAAACAAAGTAAACACTTTGGTGTAGGCAGCAGAAATAACAGCCGCAACAACTACTGTTAAATAAACATGTGTCTGATGTTGTTTATGAGTCTCTTTGAAAATAATTTAATGATGAGTGTCTAGTCAGTCAATGAACATGAAAAGTGCAGCTGCATCTTGATGTTAATTAATGTTTCAGTTTAAATGTACCTAGATCCTGGTGTTCACCAAGATTGAAATCCCAAATGTTGCTAGATTTAGATGGGCACGTCCTGCATGTGCGTAAAGAGAAACAATGCTGCCACACACAGGCAGACTGCTGTAACTACACAACTCTGCTGTTCATTTACTTGTACAGGGTGTGATTGTTGTTTTATTAGACCATATAAACGTCATAGTAATTGCAACTTTTTTTCCCGCTGAAGCTCGGAGACTGGTGGCATCGCAGCTGATCCCAGCACCATGGTAACCAAGGCTCCGGACCCCCAGACGCCACAGAAAGACAGTGACCCTCAGCCCCCCTCTCAGCCTCCCATACAGACCCCCTCTCACCCCATTGGGAATGGAGCGCCAGCCTCTTCTCCGGCTCTGTCCGGCTCCAGGACAGATAATAATAACAGTATAAAGACTCAGGAGGAGGGAGCAGGGGGGGCTCCTGCCCTCAAACCCCACCCAAACGGCTGGGCCGCTCACAACACAATCCCCCGGACAAGTGCGGCTCAAAGCCACCACCAGGAGCGGAGTGTCCCCCCCCAAGAGGCCGTGGTCATGCGCCGGGGCTTTGTGCCTAGGACACCCCCCGAGAGAGTGGCCCAGAGGAGGAGCTCCATGGCTCAGCTGCAGCAGTGGGTGAACCAGCGGAGGGGCATGGCCTCCCAGGAAGACCTCCACAGGTGAGCGGGCACAGACACTAGTGCGTCCTCTGGTGTGTCCACTTCACTTTCACTTTCACTTTGAAGTTCTGTTCATTATGTACTATACGGTGTGTACAGTATATTTAGTTATTTTGGTTTATCTACTTGGTACAATTCACATGAACATGTCTTTTGACAAAAGCATGTGGGCCACGTAAATATGCCATTATATTGTGATATTACTCATTACGAAACATTATCTTGATAATAAGAACTTATATGTACATTGATTTAATATGTATGTTTCCTCGTGAATGTTACATAATTACAGTGTGATTAATTTCAATTCACAATATACATCCTCCAGAAACTATGGAAAAAAAACAAAACAGAAAAACACTCTGCTCCATAGTTCTATATCCTTCACTGACTCGATACCAGAGATGACCCATGTGTGCAGCGAGTAAAGAGCTTCTCAGTCACAGCCTTTGACCTTTGCATTTAACCAGATACACTCCCTATAAGACCCCCTGCATTTCTTTTTTTTTGTCAGCCATGTAGATCTATTCAGAGTCAAACCGAATATTCTTGGCAAATCTGACCATTCTACAGTTAATAAGACCCACCATCTTTACCCTCCTTTATATTTAGAAAAAAAGCTTTGAGCTTTGATCTATCTCTGTGCACAGATTGTTCTCACTTATAATTAGAATAAACTAGTCATCAGAGGACAAAACTACTGGACCTCTGCTTCACAAAGAGTGCAGTTGGGTCCTAAAGGGTTCAGCTTGAATGGCAGAATATTTTTGTCAATATATTCATGTAATATTTGTAAGTTTCAAGGTTTCAAAAGTGTGTAATGTTGAATATATTGTCACTGAAATACAGTACGTCATATAATCTACGATCTATTTCTGGAAACATATTTCTGTCTCTTTCCATTAAAGTTTGCCTCTGCTCCTCAGCCCCTCGCGGTACTACACTGTCAACAGAGGGGAGTATTACGGCTACCCTCCTGACCCGCGTTTCATGGACGACTTCCCGCTCTACTCTGCCGGAATGAGACCCGACAGCATCTGCACTTTGCCAGGAGCGTACGACCAGCGCTGGAGCCTGGAGGACAAGCGGCGCTCGCTCAGAGACGGCCCCCATCAGCTGTACGGGGCCCCCATGATGAGAGACTCCTGGGGCCCGCAGAACTACGGCTTAGAAACCTCCATGCGGCGCCTGTCCATGCAGCCGCGGTCTCGCTCTGTTCCCCGCTCGCCCTCTTCCTCCTCCGGGGGGCTGTACTCTCCGGTGCCCCCCAACTACGTGTCCCCCGCCCGCTCGCCCTCCACGCGCTTTGACCACGAGCCCCCGAGGATGAGGGACGACCACATCTACGCAGACCCCTCGGTTTACGGTCTGCGGCGGTCTCTCAGCTCGCCCAAGGTCAGACGCGTTCAGGATCACAAGTTGACCTGTTTAAACTATTAGGACTGACACTGGTTGGTCTGGTTCTCTTTAACTGGACCATTTCTAGTTCACTTGGGGGAAAAAAATGCTTCAGATTGAATTGAAATTGAACTGAGATTCTGAACCAGATTCTGTCCTGTCAAAGTGAACCAGTCTTAGTCTGAGTCTGCTTAATATAATTCAGGCACAGAATAAAAAAGTCATTTATTACAATCATATCAGTAGTTTTCATGAAGTCCAATCGGCGCAATGCTTTTTATTGAAAATTGCCAAACACTCCCCCCAAATACTGAATAATACACATCATATTAAAGCTGGAGTACCTAACTTTAAGACCACAAATAAATGTAACTATGAAATGAAAGCAGTTCTATCTATAGTTTTCACATCTCTGTCACATCTATCAGTAAGTAACTGAATACCCTTTCACTGTGTGATAATTAACATGTTTTCTTCATAAAGTAAGCTTATTGTGGTTGTATCTGTTCACACAATATATTACATAAAAGACTTAATATTATTTATGAAGAAAAGAGCTAAGTACACCAGCTTTAATGCTTTACATTTTTCAAAGACGGTAGGTTCCAGAGAATGTGCATGTGAAATAACACAAGGCAAGAACATATTACAGACCCCTCCTCATTAATGATACTGTATCCTCCTAAAGCATTTCTCCTTTTATTGAATTGTGCTTAATACGCCGCTCATTCTACACCACTAACATACGACCTCTCCTTCCCCCTCTCTCCCTCGACCCTCAGTATGACTTCCCTGGCAATAGGAGGTCCCTAAGTCAAGGCCTGTACCACCACAGCTACCCTGTCTCCCCCTCCATTCACAGTAAAATGGTATGTGCCTCTGCTCCAGCCTCCCCTCCACATCTCTTCCTGCTTTCTTATGCTCAGATTCTTGCGTTCAATTAACACTTGCATGCTTTGATTTTGTGCTGAAATGTATTTCTTTGATGCTAATTCACTCTATAACGAAGTGTGCTTGAGGTGCCGAGTGCATGAATATAGTTTTTTATATAACTGGCAAAGGTTAATATTGCTTGAAGTAAGTCATATTTATTTTGATTTTAAGATACTTTCAATTTCTTATTTTAATGTTGGCTTATCGTAAAATAATTAGAATATAAAAAAAAAAATGCTACTAAGCTTATAATGAAACAAAATTGCCATTCATACACATTACATGTTAATTATCTTTTCTTATCCTTAATGCTATGCAAATAATTATATATATTATTTGTATGTTTGTACTTATGTTTAGGACCCCCTATAAATATTATACACAGCCATTTGGAAATTGTATTATAAATCATACTCAAATCAACTTAAATGCTGCTTAAAGCTTGGATACATAACTTTCAAACCACAAAATGGGAACTATGCTACAAATCCGTCCAACTACTTCCTCGCTCTCTAAACAGTTTGGTTTTATCACTAGTTTTCAGATAAAGAAGTCTCACTCAGCCAATCAGCTCTCAGCCTGATAGTTTTCATCGAGACTGAAAAGGCTGTTAGAAAAAAAGAGAATAAATGAAGTCAACATGTTGTGGTCTGATTTTACTTTTACAAGACTCACTCAGTATGTGTTACTTATAAAACAAAAAGTGAAATTCAAGATTAAATCATTTATTGTAATTGTCACAACATTACATTCAGAGCATAATTCAGCATAGATTCGAAAATGCAATATGTAAATGTAAACGTAATGTGAGAACGCACCCCGATGTGCACTAATATGCTGTAGGAACTAAAGAGTGCAAACAGACACAAGCCAACAAGCAGCAGAGCCAAGAGGTAGACAAAAAGATAATATAAGATAGACTTTACTGATCTCACAAAGGAGAAATTTAAATGTCACATTTGGCATGAATAGTATCACTCCAGTTGTGCAAAAGACAGCTCAAAACTCACCTTTTCCTCCGAGCATTTGACTCTGACTTTAAACTCTCTACCCTTCTTCCTCACTCTTAGATTTTTAGTTTGTGTGTCTGTCTAAACGTGTGTGTTTGTGTCATGAACTTGTGAAGCGTCTTTGAGTTCTTGAAAAGCGCTATATAAAACTGATGTATTATTATTATTATTATTATTATTAAAAGATATATTATGTATGTAAATTAAAAGTAAATAATTATGCACATACGGTTCACAGTTATAGGGGTCAGTTCGATTAAGTTCAGTTCAATTCAATGTCTTCTTGTACAGCCCCAAATCAGAACCGTCAAAACCGTCAGATTTGCCAACACAGATCAAAGAATCAAGCAGTTCAAACAAAGGAGGGCTCAACATTTGGTACCTCAGCTTTAAATAAAACCTTTCTTTACTTTTTTTTTCTACATTGTGTTTTTAAATGAACTAATCTCTTGTTTTAATGAGGCACTAACCTGTACTTTGTGTCTGTGGCTGTTTTTCCTGCTGCTTCGCTCAGGACGACATGTTAGACTTCCAGCTCCAGCGCAGTCTGGATTACCTGGATCAACAGGTGGGACGCTGCTCTTTACTGCTGCTGCTGCTGCTGCTGCTTTTGAAAACACTTTACTAAAGCGTAGAATCAGTCAAAGTAAAGGAAACATGAAATCCATCTTCTTTTAAACTGTACTTGGTCTTGTTCCAGGTGCCTGCGTTCAACGATCCCTACAGTCGGGAACTTCACCCCACGTTAAAACTCAATGAAATAGAAACAAGTGTAAGAATCACGTTCAATTTAATTCTGTATTTCTATCAATCTAAAGATTCAAACTAATTGTCATCTATGTTAACGGCCCATTCAGGGAGTACTGTGAATTAACTCCAGTTATAAACAATTGATCTGTTGTGGTACATACTATCTATATTTCTGTATTTGTTTTTTCCAATTCAGAAACTGCTGGGTCGACTGTGTGAGCAAAACCGCTTTCTGAAGGACCAGGAATCCCTTGTCCACAGACTAAGAATGGATAAGGTACATATTACAGTACTATTGAAGGCACCTGTTTATAAACCGCACCAGAGACATTTCATTAATATTATTTTCCACATATGGGCTGCACTTGAATATAAGGTGCAGGTTTATGTTGTAATGTAACAGTTAACCAAGAGCCCACGAAGCAACCTGATTTTATTATAATAAACTCTTACCATAACTGTTACTGTAGCTTCCATGTTGGCACTCATTTACCATCTGTGTTTAATACGTGTCCTATAGCTTGTCAAACTTGAGTTCAAATAATAAATGATAGTACTCTAACTTTAACTGCCCTTATCACATAAAAAGCTTCATGTACTTCGCTGCATTTAATCACGCCTTTCTGCTGTTCACATAAACATAAACCGCATAAACCATATAGGCAGCAGGATACAAAGAATTCCAAAAAGAGTAGCAGCTAATATTCCAGCGAGTACTGTATATATCAGTGTTTGTCACAGTTTTTACTATGTCTTTCCTATTCTTATTATTCTTATACTGATTTTGAATAGTCCCTTATTCCGTCTATGGTCTTTACTACATCTCCCCACGTAATTAAAACGACGAACGCAACAGCATTCAAATAAATACACTGTTTTTATTGACAGCTATACTTTCCAAATGCCACACTGTATCTATCCCTTGTAGTTTGCCATGAGGTAAAAAGATAAGAACTATCCTCCTTTGCCTCCGGGCTCCCTTTACCTCTAGGCTTCTGACCTTTTCAAAAAACTTTGACATGTTATATGTATTTAACATAACTTTGTGGCTGTGTTGTGTGCAGGACAACCTGGAGGATGCACTTCTGTCCACTCACCAGGAGATGGAGCTGCACCACCACCAGCCTCTGGCCATGGAGAAACTTCAGTTTAAGAAGGAGACTCTACAGAACCAGCTCATAAACATCAGAGGAGAGCTGTCTCAGGCGTCTAGTGTAAGAACTCACTCTGTACACATTTATTTGACTATTTTTCAAACCCAGAAAAGCAAAATGCAATCTTGTTTTAGGCCTTAACCACGGCACGTATGGAGTTTGAGGCTCTGGAGGATGAAGCTAATGCCATTCATGGAGATTTGTGGGAGCAACTTAACGCTGGAGGCCAGGTGATTAGTTATACAACATGCCTTTTACACAATCCTAATATGCGGAGAGAAACAGGCACAGCATAAAAGAAGGCAATTTACTCATGAAGTGCATTTATAATTGACTCTCCACTGATGTATTTTTGCAGAATGTCCTTGTTCGTAATCACATACAGAAGGAGTTTTGGAGGGTCCAAGATGTATTAGAAGCACTTCACAAAAACAACTCATCCCGAGGAACGAACACAGCCAAGCACAAAGGTAGCTTTTGTTCATAACAGTTTAAACCTGGGGTATCTAACTTTCCCCCTCATAAACAATACATCAAGTAGTTAATAGTAAAATATTGTGAACAAATCAGACAACAACAATAGTACTTTCATCTTTTTAGAAAACAAGTGAAAGCGGTTCTATCTATCTATGTATCTATCTATATATGCATCAATCTATCTATCTACCTATGTATCTATATATCTTTCTATCTATCTATCTATTGTTTGTTGTTTAAAAAATACCCCAGCTTTAATATGTATTCTTGTGTTTCTTATTGTTTTAAATGTTCAGAAAAGTGATAAGTAAAAAGCTCTGTTGTGTGTGTTTTACAGTGATCAGCAGTGGTACCTTTAGCACCAATAGTCCTGCCAGTCCTCTAAGCTCCATAAGCCTGACCAGCCCTCTCAGCCCCTTCTCCCCACTGCCCGGCTCCCAGACCCCCCCATCCAAACACCCCGAGGTAAGAACCGTCTGCACCCACCCCAGGCCCGACAACAGTAGCGGACCTTTCTTAGACAGTAGAACTCCACCCAGAATGCGTAGAAATCCATCAAATCCCAAACAGCGCCCTCAGTCCTGCATAGTTCCTCGGTGTGAGCCCCAGACCAGGCCAAGACCCAGGAGTTTAAAAGATCCAGATCAAAACCTGCATGCGGCCGTGTTGGAGCACTTCCGACTGCCTGTAAATGTGCCCGCGATCAAAGAATCCAACTATAATTCTCACCTAAATTATGAGCAAAATGTAATGTCATCTACTACCAACGAACAAAGAGACGAAGCACGGTACTATCATCAGAAAGTATCTCAGGCGGAGAGAGAGTGCGCTCAAGGCAGATTTCACCGATCGTTCCCCGCTCAGGATTCCTACCACACGGATGTTCGTGACCCACTTTCAGAGCCGTATCCAGTCTCAGTCATTTGTGTGAAAAAGACGTTCCCAGAAACCTCACATGTGATCTATTCCCCTGTGGGCAGTCCGCAAGTCTGTCGCAAAAAGAGCTTCCATAAAGTGTTCAAGCAGACGCATCTATAAAACCAGCTCCAAACGTGAGATCAATTCTTCTGTAAAGGCCACACACTCTGCAATTATTATTATTATTAATTTTGTATTTCTGGCAAACAACTGTAGTGACAAAATATGTGTATGTAGAAAAACATTAGAATATTGTTCAAAAGTTCATTTATTTATGTAATTCAATTTCTGAAACCGATTTATGATATAGACTAATTCCATGAAGAACAACATGTCAAGCTTTTGTTTGTTATAATTTTGATGATTTTTTAAATGTCAAACTATTCATATTTTCAGTGATGTTTTATTTGGGTTTTTAATATTTACACTCAAGCTGCGAGTCATAATAATCAACAACAAAACAAACCGAGGCTTGATAATTCTTGCTTTGTGTATAATAATGTCTTATACTAGTTTCTATATTAGTTTTCTGAATTACAAAAGTAAATACACTTTTGCACAATATTCTAATTTTCAGAGTTGTACCTGTTTAGTCTTACAGTAAAAAAGATATATATATACAGCATATATTTCTATTTCTTCAATTAAAAATAATATTAATTCTACGTCTTCTAATTTAGGTATATTTTTTCATAAAACACAACTACAACTACTGCTACTACTAGTACTGTTACTACTATGTGTCGAAGATTATAACTTACTAATACAACGTTTTGACTATTTATATACTTTTGCTTCTACTTTTTCTTCTTTATTTCCCTAGCCCAGAGTTGCACTACCACTATTACTACTACTATGTGTTGAAATGTATAACTTGAGGAATACAACAATTTTCAAAAACGCTGATATCTGTTTTTGCTAATTAACCGGTGCAGATTTGATGCATGTCTAATCTAACTTCTGGTCTTTTGTGCTTTGCTTTTCTTTTAAATGATTCTGCTGATTTTGAAAGCTCATGATCTGGCTCCTCTCTTCCTCCTGCTCTCCCTGTCTTTCCCCTCTGCCCTGATGCTGATCCAGGAGTGTGTTCCTCCCAGACCCCCCCTCCCTAAGGCCTACTTCCCCCTTGAGTCCTCCCCCAGCTTCCCCCCATCCACCCCGCCCCTGTCCCGGGACAGTGCTGCCTGGTTGTGTGGCTTGGCCTACTCTGACGCTGAAGATTCTTACACCAAGGTATTCGAGCCTTCTCCATGCCATGTCCACCACTCCCAGTCGTCAGGGCGACTTACATTTTTTTAAATCTCAAAACCGCTGTACAAGTAAGATTGTTTAAAAGCTCTGCATTTTCTCATTATTTTCTTTTCTGCCTCTGTGCCTTGCTTCAACAACACAATGGCTTCATTTGGTCGACAAAACAACAGCGATATAAAGTACATTTGATCATGAAAGTATTCCACTGTAGTTGATATAAAGTTGAATATGACTTTTTAATTCAGTGGTCAGGATGTTTAGAGGTGAGGAGCTGCCTTTTCAAGATAATATCAATGTTTTGGTGTAGTTATGCACTGCAAAAAAGGTTTTTAAAAAAATCGCTTGAATTATGTTTCAATGTATTGACCCAGAAATGGATTAAGGGGAAGAAAATGGATGGATGGATGTATTGGATATTTTGCAAATTCTTAAAACAATGCCTGTGGGAAAAGCAACAATGAATGCAAAAAAAATGCTTCTGCGCTTTTTGCTTGTTCCTTGGCGAGTCCTGTATTACGACAAAAGATCAAAACTACTTGATCTAATGCTGGGGTACCTACATTTTCTCCATCAATAATATATTTTCCCATTGTCCAAACAAAAAGAGTCTTGTAAAAATGATCACTGTGAGTCACTATTTGATGCTTTCGCTTGAGTAAGGGTTTGATTGATTGATTTTATTCATTTGAGCAGAAACTTTACATTCATAAGTATTTACAATATTTACACTCCTTAGTTTACATGAACTTCTGTACATGCTGCTTTCTGTGCTTCAGGACATGCTCACACATGTAAATATGTAAACATAATTATACAATCAAGCAGCACCATGTGTTGTATAATTACAATTTCAAATTCAGTTATTTACAAATGCATTTATCTTTACAATTTGTCAGTTATAAATGTGGGAAAGAGTAAAAACTTGTAGACTCCCACCCCATGAACATAATTGTGAAATGAGTGAAATGAGCTAATTTAGGTGTTGTCTCTTTTAAAAGGTTTGTCTGAAAAAGCTGATATGAAATTGTGCCAAAAAATTCACGCATAAAAAAACTAGTGATAGAACCAAACTGTTTAGAGACCGAGAAACTGGTTAGATGGATTTTATAACATTATTTCATAGTTTGTGGTCTAAAAAATAGGTATCCCAGTTTTAAGCAATTTCTTTTCTGCAGTGTTCCTAATATGACAGATGTAAAATGACATCCAGAACACTTATTGTCACAAGATTTGTTGCGCTCCTCACCGTCTGACCGTGTTCAAACACTGTTCCTTTTGCAGAACATGAGTGATTCTGAGGACCCGTCCCAGGACCGACAATCCTCCACAAATAAAGGTACGTGTGCATAGTTTCAACTATATCAAAAACATATCTTTGCTCATAGTTGCATTTGTTCATATATTTTATCAACAGTGGGTGTTGTTCCACCACGGACAAAATCCCCCACGGATGAAGTTCCCACCAGATCTCGATATCGAGGAAGAACGCACAACGGAATCTCAAGAGTGCGTAACCATCTCTTCTTCTTCTTCTTCTTCTTCCTCCAGGGCACCAATAATCAAATGATAAAGATCCACACCATGACATGTTGGGCTTACAAAGGGATAATCATATATGAAAACAACTAGACTCTTTTGAACTCTCTGTATTTGAATTGTTTTGAAATATTAAAAAATGGCTTTCATTTCTGTTTGTGAACAGAGGAGTGTATAGACAACATATAAATAGATTTAGATTTACTTATATATGTGCGTTGATATGGTTGCTATAGGAACGTCCAAAGAGTGCCATGTTCCCAGCTGAAGTCAAGTCAAAAATGAGCGTGGAAGAACAGAACCAGCGACTGAGAAGAAACCTGAGCAAGAGGTCCAGTCTGAACCTGGGATCCCACAGCTACAAAGTGGTATGAGCAATTTATCATTTCACTGATTCATATAAGTGAATTTCATGTCTGTGTAAAGATCTGCGTATATTGGTGGGTGTTACAATATGTCTATACATTTTCTTTGTAGGAGTAAGTGTTTTATTCTTCGTAATTGAAGTTTGACTGAAATGCATTTGTCTGTGGCTGATACCGAGGCTGCACATTTGTACATAACGTGATACGAGTAATTGGTTGTGAGGGAAATGGTGGGGGGGACAAAACCAAAACATGTCTCGTTGTTTCCTTTAAACTAGAAAATAAATGAATGAAATACCTATTTGTTCAGCCAGAGTGTGTGTGTGGCGATGAATAATGTGAAGTCATTTGACGGGTGTGTGGTGTGCACAGGTGCCCCGGCGGCTGACAGCTCATGAGATTGATATAAAAGACCTGGAGGCTGCAGTGCGCGGCGAGGGCCTGGAGTCCCCCAGCGAGGAGATCGCTCGCCTCAGACGACTACAAGTGGAGCCGGATCTCTACGACCAGGTGCAAAAAACCATCTTCACTTCAAACAGAGAAACATATCAGCACCAAATCCCAACAATAATCAGCTCATAACCAATTCAGATTTTTTTAGTGTCAGCTAAAATAATTGTGTAACCCACAATCAGAATCAAAATCAGAATGTTTTCCCGTTGTAAGTAAAAGGCAGTCACAAACTTGCAAGTTATACAAATGTAAAAAATAGATATAAGGGTATACCTGAAAAATACAATTATCATACAAAAATATGAATAAATAAACAAATACATACATATATACATACATATTCACATAAATTAACACATACAAATAAGTAAATAGACCTAACCTTGAAACGACATGATATAAAATGATATAATACTTTTACCTGTCACATCTTTGGACAAGCTTTTGCAGACAGAAAAGTGAAAAAGACAAAGGAGAAAGTGTGTGGTGGTTGGATTTTTTCACAAAATTGTACAAAATTGAGAATCTGATTTCTCACTTTTGCAGCTCGTTATATCATATATTCTCGTGTATGGCCGTGTATCATGCATTGGAATTGCTGCTTTTGCCATTTCTCACTGTGTATGTTTTGAATCTCACACAAACAGGTGTTGGCGGCTCAGCGACTGCTGGAGGAGGATGATTCTGTTCCTCTCAGTCCTGCAGAACAACAGGAAAAGCGGAAGAAACTGGAGCGGATCAGAACTCTCATTGCCAAATCAAAGTAGGTTTATTTAATGTTATTGTTCAGACAGTGGCTTTAAAGCTGGGGTACCTAACTTAGACACATTCTTCTATGGCGCCACCTGCATGTGAAAGCCAAATCCCGTCAGACCACAGACGTTAAGCAGAACAGGGCCTTGTTAGTACAGTGCCACGTGGGGCGGCTGTGGCTGTAAAGTGCCAAACTCTTGTTGTGTCCTTAGGCAAGACCCTTCACCCACATTGCCTAGAATGAGTCTGGTTGCCTCGCTTCTGTCAGTGTGCCCCAGGGCAGATGTGGCTACAATAGTGGGTCATCACCACTGTGTATGGAGTGAATGAATAATGAGTCTTTGAGTGTCCAAAAAAACATGCATTATTATTATTATCTATCTAGTTCCTTGCTCTCAGTTTGTTCAAGCATTAGTCTGCTCATGGATGTATCTATGGCCTTTGTCACATCTTTATATCAGCTTTTTCAGACAGAAAAGTAAAAAAGAGAAGACCCACGTTCTCATTCTTACAAGTATTCAAAAGAAAAACATTGTTTATAATTATAATAAGAGCATACTCTGGTCTCATTTGTTAATTTTACTTTAAATGTTTTTTTCAAACGACGTGTATTCTTTCCAGGATGAGTCAAAAACATAAGATACCCCAGCTTTGACATACATACAGAATTAGTTTCATAGTGTGTTCCGTGTGCTCAGTCTTCAGAATGTGGTCCCAGTGCTGGACGGTCCCGTGGATGGAGCGCCCCCTGTCAGCTCACAGCAGCAGTTGCAGGAGCAGGAGAAGCGCATTGAGATCTCGTGTGCCTTGGCTGCAGAGGCGTCCCGTCGCAGCCGCATACTCTCTGGTACGAAACCTTCTGCACTTGTCTTGTACTCTGCAAAAAAAAGAGAATGGAAAACATGATTTGAATGTATTTACTACTACTAAAAACGACTTATTCTTGCATAGTACTTCTTTTAGTCTGTGTCTGAATTGTTGCTTTTGAAATATTCTTCTAATGGCACTTATATGTTTTTGCAAATCAACTATTCATTTGTTCACCATTAGTCCAGGCAAACTACCTGATTTTGGGCCCAAAAATACATTAATAGTTTCCCCCCCCATTAATAATTCCAGGGGTCCAGGACAACATACTAAAATCCCAATCACTCTTTTGCCTGGGCGACTAGAGATATAAGTAGATGTAGTATATATATATTTACACCGATGTCCCGTGTGGTTGCAGCCCGCTGTGTTCCCAGCCCCCCCACCTCCCCGACCCGCCCCTCTCCTCCTTCTGAACCAAACTCTGCCAACGTCATGAAGGCATGAGCTCAGGTAACCCACCACCCCACTGTTCCATCCACGAGCACTGCACTGTCCTCACACCTGTCCTGTCTCTCCTCAGCACAAACCTCTGAAACACTTTTATTGCATGAATGAAGTAAAAACATGCGTCTTCACAGAGAGCGGACTTCACCTTTCTTGTTTTCATAATTGTAATTTTATTATAATTTACCACAATATTGTTAACAAATGTTCCTATGTCCATGGACTATGTTCTGTAGTATTGTTTTACCTTTATATGACATGGAGGTGACGTACTGTACCACCTCCAGAAAGTTGCATACTATTCGGCCACCGCTTTGAATATAGATAAAAAAGAACAAGAAAGAAAAATATATGATAATCCAGTGTTTTTTACCAGTGGACTGTGGCAGGTTAGTGTACCATGAGATGTTGTTTGGTGCACCTTGATCCAATATCATCAAATTGGTCAAAATAATATGAAAAGACTATTTTGCGCTTGTTTGATTTGCCAAATATGTTACACTTTGATGAGAATAACTTTGCTTTGTTAATAATAAAGAGTGCAGAGTGTAATTTCTGCATCGGTTTAAGATGGTGGTGTGCCATATGATTGTTCTGAAAGAAAAAGGTGTGCCACAGCTCAAAAAGGTTGGGGAACACTGGCATAAACTAAAGTACAACTAAATTATACGTGTCATTTTTCTGCCTAGGTTTCCTCCGGGTGCTCCTGTGTCCCCGACCACTAAATAAACATGTAGAATAGGTCTGAATGAAATGTGTAACTGTGTGTAACTGTGGTTACCGGTATCCCAAAAACTGTAACGCTTTTTTTGACCTTGGTCTGTGAAATGCACTATATAAGTAAAGATTTCTTACTTTTTCTACAATTTTTGTCAACAGTTTTAGATTAATTATTTTTATAATCAAAATTATTTTCATTAGTTTCTACAGTCAGAAGTTTAATTTCAGTCAAAACCATATAAATATCAAATCACATATCAACCAACACATTCTTAGTAACAAGTGTGCATACACATGTGGATCTTTTATAATGAATACAATTATTGGCAGTTATATTTATTATCGCAGAGGTGATATCAAAATAATAATATAAATTCTTCCCTGTATTTCTCCACAGCTCAGCTCTTCGTCGCTGCCAAGTTTGACCGAGCATCTTTCTGAGAACTCACCTGACTGAAAACACAATACTTTCCCTTGACCTCACTTTTATCTGACCAAAAAACTCAAACTGTAGGAAGAGGACGACAGACGACACGACAGATTCAAGTAGCTCAGGAGCCAATGAAGTGAAATGGGACCTGTTCATTTTGGAGTTGTGTTCTGTGATGATGGACTCGCTGCACGTTTGTAGATGAAGAGAATCCCAGAGGACAGGTGTCTCTGCGCCACGTCCCGGGCCCACATGAAACTGGGTTGTGCTCAGCTCACTGTGATGCTTCGTCCCCATCTGTCTTCATTACCTCATGTCGGATCACTTCTGTTTATATGCAACTTCACGGCACTAAACACACGCCCAGGTCGATTATAGAACCGCACTATTCTGTAAATAACACTACAGATGTTATCCATATCCTGCCTATTCTGATCATGAACGCTGAGAAGAATCTTGTTTCCAGAATTTGTAATGTTTGTCATTGTCTGTTTTTGTTTTGTTTTGTTTTAATCTGTTTTAGTTATTGGAGTCAGTGAATATTCGTCCAGTCACCGCATTTCCTTCCATTCAATTCAATTCTGTTATATATATTTTTTGTATAGCCCTAAATCACAACAGCAGGCTCTTTGGAGTGCTTTACAAAGACGTTGATTTGCCATCACAGGTCAGAGAATCAAACATTTCAAACACAGGGAATGCAGTAATAACAAACACATAGGGTCCATTGGTCCTTAAGGGGCGGGATAACCACTGTCCAAAAATGTTAATACATCTCCTTTAAATGTCCTGGATCATCACCACTGTCCTCAGACCCTCCTGCATCTCTGTGTTCCCAAATGTACACATTTAGCAAGACACCCCTCAAAACCTCTTGGTGTCTATTGCAAGCAGTGTTATGAGTTACAAAAGTGCACAATAATTCTTGTATTTAATATATACTCAGTTTTTAAGTGGCAAACACGTTACACTGACCACAGCATGCTCCAGTATACACTCGCATGGAGGATCAGAGACCTGACTTTGTAACACCAGCCCATGTGACTTCAATGATTTGAATAATCATGTTGTCAAAAGAAAACTCAGACAAATATTCATTGATGTAACTTTGCAGCAACAGTTTTGGAAAAAGGCATCAGTCGTTTTCTTTGTAAATGATTATGTTTTCAAAGAGACATGTTCCATCAGCGCTGTGTATTCAGGAAGTTACCAACCTTTGAAAGAGAAACATATACTAATTACAGTATGTTACATCAATATTAGAAATACAAATTGTGTGAATATTGGATTGTAGCGATGTTGACAGGAATTATGAGATTTTAAAACCCTTATGTTTGATGATATGTCACTAATTCTCAAATGAAATAACATGCTTTCTAATGTGTACAATACTTTTTTTTCCCATTCGTCCTCTGTGCTCTTTATCTCTGTGCAGTCATCAATGCAGATAATCTTTGGAAGATTATTTTAGGGATTAATGCTGTGTTTTTGTGCCTGAGGTTCAGCCTGTTGTGAAGATTAAGAGTGGATCAGTTTCACGTAGTAATAATCGCTAATTTCTATAAGATCATAATTTCTTTGCCTTATGTGTTACTTCTGAAAACAGCTTTTTTTTTTTTACGAATGTAAGCACGTTTTTATGTTGATTGTGTCTCATTGCACTTGAACGCAGCATTAATATTAATTTATATAATTGTCAGACAGTGTGCTGGACCTTTTTTGCGTAGAGGCTTGTGTTTGTGAGCACACACATGTTCAATGTTGTTGATTTTAGCATGTCTCTTTAGCACAGGTCAATGCTCTCTGGATAGTGTTGTCAGCTGGTAAAAGATACATACAGTATATTATATTCTGTAAAGTAAATGTATGTGGAAAGTGACCTTAGTGTAATTCTCAAGCAGTCAGTTTTTGCGAGGGGAGCTTTACGATAGGCTGTTTAAAGCTGGGGTACCTAACTTTCAGACTACGTAATAAAATCCAACTAGTCTATCAATATTTCAATGCATATATTTTTTGTTGCTTCTGTCACATGTTTTGAGCGGCTTTTTCCAACAGAAAGGTAACACAGAGAGGTCCACCCTCACTTAGCCAATCAGCTCTCATCCCAAAGAGTCAAATAGCGACTCACAGAGCTCTTTTTTCCAAGTATACAGAGATAAACAATGTTTTCTGATACGATTAAGACAGCATGTTGTGGTCTGATATATCCTCAACATCTCACGTTTACATGACTCTTTTCTGTTGGCAAAAACACATGTTATTAAGGTATTTAGGTACCCCAGCTTTATCTGCGATGTTATTGTTCATTTGGTTAATTGCAGTGTGTTTATAAGAATTGGACTAATGTGGATTTTGTAAAAACGCAAATTGGCTTCAATCTCTTCATTATTCATGTATTCACACTCATTTGTTCCGAGTTGTAAACATTGATGAAAGACAAAGCAAAAAAAAAAAAAAAGCCCAAGAGAAGTTTTCTATATTTGTTCTTTTGCAGATTTTTTAGATCCGTGGAAGACATATTTTTTTAAACTCATGGATAGTTTTGTTGTCCTGAAGAAGAGTTTGATGAAGATGAAGATATTTTCGAATGATTTGGGAGAAAACTGCTGATGTTGTTAATATTTGATACTCTTCTGTATGTAGCATTTAAGGCTAATGCGAATAAAGACGACCAACATTATATACACCAACTATTGTTCATACTTACAGTATTTGTATGTTGGATGACTGATTCTGTAACCACTTTGGGGGGAAATACAAAATGCCTGGACTATGCAATTAACTAAAAACACTGCGCTTGCTTTTAAACATCTTTGCAATAAAGTGAATGTATGCCTTGTTTCTCCAAGTGCTTACTGTATGACGGCGGCATTGTAACAAGAAGTTGGAACATTCCCAAATGAATTATAACGGCTGCTGCGGCATAAATGACATCACAGGCTGAGAAATGTGCTAGAGAAAAACAACATCACTATCTTCTCTCTGCATAAACACAGTGAAGCCCATGTGAATGTTTTTATAAAGGATTTTGTTATTTAGACTGATTGATGGAATGACACCGGTTTATTAAGAATTACAGTTTTACATCAATAAATCCACAGTTAGGGATTTTCCTAATTTTTTTTAATTGACCGGAATTAGATAAATTGGATGTTTGATAGGAGGGAGATTCCGTATTCATCTTAAAGTTTGGTATACTTTACAGATTTTGGGCAACATAAATGATTCACTCATTTGAATACATATTTATTATGTAATTCATCAAACCAATTTACAGCCGTTTTGGCCGAAAATCAAATGTGGTCGCTAGGCAACATTCCACCATGGGGTCATATTCTGCAAACATTCAGGAAGTAAAATAATAAAAATAAAGAAAATGTATTTTTGTAATTATATATTTTTTTAAACTAAATCTTAAATCTAACAAAGGTACACCCAGATAGCAAAATTGTTGTGGCCCAGATGTGGCCCACAACACAGGTGTTGATGTGGCCCACATACCGCGTGGATGTCCGGCGATAGCATGATTCTAACTCGTATGCCAGATGTGGCCCACATCTGAACCTCATTAGGGCCATATATTTACCAGATCTTTACCACATCAAACACAAGTGGCCCGAGCACGGGCCAGAGAGGGGGCATCTCTGGCCCACATCCGGCCCAGTTATGCTCTGCCACAACCAGCTTTTTCATCGTGGCCCAGATTTGGCCCACATACCGCGTGGATGTCCGGCGATAGCATGATTCTAACTCGTATGCCAGATGTGGCCCACATCTGAACCTCATTAGGGCCATATGTTTACCAGATCTTTACCACATCAAACACAAGTGGCCCGAGCACGGGCCAGAGACGGGGAATCTCTGGCCCACATCTGGCCCAGTTCCGCTCCCAGATGTGGCCCACATCTGAACCTCATTAGGGCCATATGTTTACCAAATCTTTACCACATCAAACACAAGTGGCCCGAGCACGGGCCAGAGACGGGGCATCTCTGGCCCACATCCGGCCCAGTTCCGCTCCCAGATTTGGCCCACATCTGAACTTTATTAGGGCCATATGTTTACCAGATATTTACCACATCAAACACAAGTGGCCCGAGCACGGGCCAGAGACGGGGCATCTCTGGCCCACATCCGGCCCAGTTACGCTCTGCCACAACCAGCTTTCTCATCGTGGCCCAGATTTGGCCCACATACCGCGTGGATGTCCGGCGATAGCATGATTCTAACTCGTATGCCAGAGGTGGCCCACATCTGAACCTCATTAGGGCCATATGTTTACCAGATCTTTACCACATCAAACACAAGTGGCCCGAGCACGGGCCAGAGACGGGGAATCTCTGGCCCACATCTGGCCCAGTTCCGCTCCCAGATGTGGCCCACATCTGAACCTCATTAGGGCCATATGTTTACCAAATCTTTACCACATCAAACACAAGTGGCCCGAGCACGGGCCAGAGACGGGGCATCTCTGGCCCACATCCGGCCCAGTTCCGCTCCCAGATTTGGCCCACATCTGAACTTTATTAGGGCCATATGTTTACCAGATATTTACCACATCAAACACAAGTGGCCCGAGCACGGGCCAGAGACGGGGCATCTCTGGCCCACATCCGGCCCAGTTCCGCTCCCAGATTTGGCCCACATCTGAACTTTATTAGGGCCATATGTTTACCAGATATTTACCACATCAAACACAAGTGGCCCGAGCACGGGCCAGAGACGGGGCATCTCTGGCCCACATCCGGCCCAGTTACGCTCTGCCACAACCAGCTTTCTCATCGTGGCCCAGATTTGGCCCACATACCGCGTGGATGTCCGGCGATAGCATGATTCTAACTCGTATGCCAGAGGTGGCCCACATCTGAACCTCATTAGGGCCATATGTTTACCAGATCTTTACCACATCAAACACAAGTGGCCCGAGCACGGGCTAGAGACGGGGAATCTCTGGCCCACATCTGGCCCAGTTCCGCTCCCAGATGTGGCCCACATCTGAACCTCATTAGGG